ACTTTAGTCCTCAAACTGACATCTTTGCTCTTGAACACTTTAAAGCGGTCTTGTGCAGCAGATTTGCCTAATACAATACATCATTTGATTTCTTGACTGCTGCTTCTATGAGTGCAGATGGTTGATCCAAGCAAAATGAGATCTTGGGCAACTTCAAACTTTTCTCCATTTATCATGATATTATTTACTGGTCCAGTAATTTCCATGTGCAAAATGCATTTTATTTTAAAAAAAACTATCATTGGAAAAGAAATATAGGGACAAGTAGCAAAAAATTGATGCCTACATCAATTAATAAGGAGGCCTGGTAGCATAGTGGGTTACCAGCTGAACTGCAAACCACAAGGACAGTGGTTCAGATCTACCAGACACTCCACAGGAGAAAGATGAAGCTGTCTGCCTCCATAAAGATTCACAGTCTTGAAAACCCTATCCAGGGTTGCTATGAGTCAGAACCCACTCAGTGGCACACAACCACCACCACCACATCAATTAATGAGTTGTAGGAATTGCTCATATAGCGATAAAAAAATAAAAAAGGATCATGTGCCCCTTTTAAAAACTGTGACATTGCAAGAGCCTCCCTCCCCCCAAATGGCATTTGTATCAGCTGGTATTCCCTAACACTTCCTATTTTTAACATGTAAGCAATTATATAGAAGAGGAATCTCAGACAAGGTAATTCAGCCCAAAATGTCTAAGAGGAGGGCAATGTTTTTTTTTTTTTTTTTAATGATTTATTGTGAATTATGTGATAATTTACATGAGAGAACATTAGTTTTACATTCATTCTATCATATCTCATTGCCATGGTTACAATCCCCTCCATGCAATCCTTCCCCGGTGCCCCCCAGGTCTTCAGCACACAGTGGCTCTCCCTCTTTGGATCTAAAGTCTCCAGCTGCTCCATAGCTCCACATCATCATCTCTGGCTCCATTTTAGGCATCACTGCTTCTCTGGGTAGGGTCCCACTCTCTGCTCTTCTCCCTTGTTGGTCTTCGGGACCTCCGCTCCCAGACCGAAAAGTCAATCACTCCCCTCCTTGCTATAAAACGTCTACCTTTACACTTCCAACCCTCACAGTCAGTCCTGATAACAATCATTCATCATTGTATTACAAGAGACCCGTCTGCATTTCATTGCATCAGCCCCGCCTAGTCAGATTGAACACTACTCACTGGAGATTCTACCTTCCTCCAGGCCCTCTGGGTCTAGGTTCAGAGGGCAATGTTTTCTGTTTAATCTTCTAACATAGAGTCATGATATGCTCTGATG